AAGCATTTTGCATCTGAGCTTCTGAGAAGAAACCAGCCCTCCCTTGCCGGGTTCCCCGGGGAGCAGGACCTCGGCCTCTCGCTGTGCATCCCTAGGGCATACATGCACTCACTAAAGACCAGGGCATAGAGGCAAGACAGAGAACCAGCTTTACGGCGAGGTCAAAACCCATCACATTCCTGCAATCACAGACTCAAAGAGAGTCAGAGACATGGGAAGGACTGAGCCAAGGAGAAGGTGTGCACCTGCCCAAAGCCACGTGGATATAGCGGCAGAGGCTGAACTTGACGGCGACTCTGTGAAGAACACGGCCCCTCGTGCTGCAGCAGATCTTCCCGGCCAAAGGGCAAGTCTCCTGGCCTTTGGAAGCTTTTGAAATTTGCCTCCAACGCCAGGGGCAGAGACCGTGGGTGCTTTTCTTTGCATATCCAATCAATATTTACAGGAGAGAGATCTTCACCTATGCTCTTCACTACCCCGCAGGAATTAGAGAATCGCGTACTCCCCTCCACCTCACCACTCAGGCCTCTGAGCGGAGGGATTTGCTGCCTACTGCAGGCAATCCTTCTCATGTCTCAAAAAGCTCTCAGATTCCACCTTGTGGATAAATCGAAAGAGTTTCCATGCTGTTCCCATGTATTAAGGTGGCCTTTTGCTGAAGACACATACTTTGTAGCTTGAGAAGTTGGGACTCGGGCTTACAGATCCAGCGCACTTTGAAACCCTGACTTTTAGACACCACGTTGCATGAAAAGCTCCCACCCTGCCAGGTGAGAAAATCTTCACCATGAGACTCCAATGAGAGAGTGGCATCTCGGAATCAGTGAGCCGACAAAGCGTGCGTCACCTATGCAAGCACGCAGCCCAATGCCACAGCCAGAGCAAGAACTCAAGAAGCCCCATTCCCCGCACTGGGGCCGTAACCCTGACACATGGAGAGGGCAGCTGGGGGTGGGGGGAGGGCCCCAGGTCAGGGATTTGCAAGCAGAAACAGGAAACTAAGCACAGCTCAACAGTATCACACACCTGCCCTAAACCCCTCAGCAAGTGCTCACAGCCTACAGCGAGATGTTTAGAATCCTCACCGGTTTCCGAAGATCCTTACAACAGGGTTCCAACCCACTTGCCCTCCTTACCATCCTGGCTTCCCGCAGGTGTGCAATTCTAGATCAGCCCTGCTCTCCTGGCTCCCCACAGATCTGCTGTTCTGGGTCAGCCCAAACTTCCTGGCTCCCCGAAGGTCTGCTGTTCTGGATCAGCCTGACCCTCCTAAATCCCCACGGGTGTGCTGTTCTAGATCAGCCCTGCTATCCTGGCTCCCTGTAGGTCTGCTGTTCTAGATCAGCCCTGCTCTCCTGGCTTCCCGTGGATCTGCTGTTCTAGGTCAACCTTACTCTCCCTGAATAGGCAAGCAAGTGACTGCCCCCACACTTTTGCACAAGGTGTCTCTCCCTTTGCAGCACTCCAACCATCTCTCCCTCAGACCTCAGCCTAAGGCCCACCTCTGCTCTAGAACCTTTCTTGATTTCACCTCCAACCTCCTAGACCACCTCCAAGTGGAAGTGGCCTTGATAGCCATGAATCTGGCGCTTTAGTGATCACCGGGAGTCATTATTTTCTAAACAATGTGGCAATAATGTGGGGCTCCTTTCTGCTGTCAGCCAGCATCAGCTGAGCCTGTCCTGGATGTCACCACGTGCTGTGCTGAGCGCCTGAGACACAGACGTGACTAAAGTCCGGTTCCTGCCTTCAGTGGGCATCCGGTCCAGCGGATGAGACTGCTTGATGAGGGAGGGTTATACTTGGCACAGTGAGAGCCCAGGTGAGGGGCAGCTCAGTGACCACAGAAATATGAACGAGACTATGGCACTTAAAGTTGTTTTAAAGTGAAACTTTTTCATTGGGCAAAAGAATAGAGAGTAGGAGAGGGTTGTTCTAGGTAAAAGAACATTGGACACATCAGTGCTTGGCACAGGGTATGGATAGGAACTTGGGATTTTTTGAATGAATAAAGCAAGGGCCTGGAAGATTCTGGCATATCCACTTTCACTTACTACGTGCCACACGGTTTCCAGCCACACACCAAACCCAGAAGCAAGGCAGCACCATGCCTATTTTACAGATGAGGATGCTAGGCTTCCAAGGTCTAGGCCCCAAAGCTATGGAGTCGCAGGGCTCCGCCCACTTTCCTGACAACACAGGGATGGGCTAATGAATCTGCCTTCAGGAATGGACTTACAGAGCAAACTCTGAGCCCTCTTCCCTGCAGATAAACACCCAGCAGGTCTCTGCAGGGACAGAGCAGCTGAAACCACACTCCGCGCAGACTCCGGGGACAGCAGGTCCTGTGTCTCCCTGCAAACAAGCTGTTAGTCCTCTAAGCGTATTTGGTCTTAGTGGCCCCAACTGCAGGTCCTTTTCCCTAACTTACAAAAGACAACCTGGAAAGAGCCACCCAAAAGTCATCTCTAGCCAACACAGGCTCATGGATTCTCTCCTAGGACTCAAGAGAACTGAAGTGAGTCTCCCTTTCCAGAACAAAGCGGCTTCTTTGTGACGGAGTTCTTTCCCCCCTTCCTCTGATTATCCTCAATTTCTCTCTACCTAGTTTGGGCTTTCTCTGTATTACGTGCATTGGACACATATTTCTTCCTCCCAGCTGAGACTATCATATCTTACTATTGTGCTGTTTTTTTTTTCCAGTGAAAGCCATCAAAAATGAAAGTCCACATTTTAGAACAGTATCTATTAAACATGCAACTTTTTGATTAACAAACAAACAAAGAAAGGAAAGCACTCTGGGAGGGCTGGTTTCCTGCTCTGGGCACCACGGGAAGATTAGGAGTCCTCTGCTCCCCGCTAGGCCCTTGCATTTGGTAACTGGGAGTGATTCCGGGGTCAGAAACAACACGTTTAAGGACGCCTCAGTCTAAAGCACCGCTCCTCAGCGGGATCCTTGAACTATCAGCCACGTATCACCTGAGAGCTTGCCGGAAATGTGGAATCTCCCCCACCCCAGAACAACTGAACGAGAGCCTACCTTTCAGTAGGATTCCAGGTGACGGAACACACATCAAAGCCTGGGAGGCACAGGTCTAGAATTAAGGGATTTGTTTTCATTACCATCCTGGAGCCTCCACCTGAGTTTCTGCCCTGGAAAAGAAGTCTCTGTACTCTGTACTCCACAGAACGCCCCCCACCCTCTCTACCTGAGTTGTTTATCCATAGAGGAATCATGAAAGGATAAATACTCCCCCAGAAATCACTTTCGCAGCCTGAAGGAGTGAAACGTGGAACAGAGGTGGTGGCTATCCTTTCTGCAGCGTGTGAGTGCCTGAGAAGGAACAGCTAACCCCTCCTCCCTGCTTCTCCTTCAAGGCCTGGATGATGGTGCTTGATGTCTTCTCCCTCCCTCCCTCCAAAGAGGGGATAAAGGACTAATGTGAGCCCAGGGGGCTGAGCTGTGCCCTGAGCTCTGAGATCCTTCAGGAGAATCTCTGTGGACATGAACAGCAGAACCAGGAGCACAGCCCAGTCTGAGAAGTTCACACATCCAGTAACAGTGGGCAAGAGAACCCCAATGATCCGTCACCTATGCGGAAGAAATGGATGGAGGAGATGGAAGGATGGCATGGACCTGGTTGGAGGGTCGAAGCTAGAACCAGGGGAAAGCAATGAAAGAAGAGGGAGGCCCAGCCCCATTTGTGCCCTCCTGCCCACCTGCACCCACGCACCCCAGAAGCAGAGCTAACTCTGGAGCAGCACGGAGGGGCCAACCAGAGCCCCTCAGACCTCACAGTGGCTGGCCTGACCTCCCATTTGACCATGTCCTCTGTGAAGAGGACACCTGTCTCAGACATGTTTCTATAGAACTAAGAGCACCCAAAAGTCACCCCCTGTTAGAAAACCAAAGAAAGCCAAAACAGGTCCCTAGGATGAAGCAAGTATCCTCTCACTAAATCCTGAGACATGCACGCCCCAAAAGCTCCCCCATGCTCCAGACGTCCAGATCTTTCCGCACAATGCCTGAGACCTGGATTCCTCTGCTGTCCCTCCCCACCCCCCTTTACTAGTTTCCCACTCATGTCTCTCCTTGTTCACCTTCACTCTCTGAAACAGCAATATTTTAAACGGGAAATGGTTTATTCATAGCAATCGATACCTGCTTTTCCACCAATTATCATTTATTTATATATGAACAGTAGTTCAGCTAGGAAACATATGAGTCTGCCCTTTCACAGGGGCACATGAGCAAGCTCTCTCAGAAATCCGGAAGGGACAGCAATCAGCTCCCAAATGCAGCCAGGACTCCCTCCCTCCTTCTCCTCCACCAAGGCAGACAGAGCGCCCCCTCCCCCAGATCCCAACACACAGAGGGTCAGCCAGGGATGGGGACCAAGGCTCTCCATTTTCTTTCAGCCAGCTCCCACTTCCCACGGATGCACTCGACTGCATTCCCCTGTAAATCAGACATGGAGATGCAAAGCCATCCCCCAGAAGCACCCCTGACGGGATCCTCTGTGCCCCCCCGCCCCCATACACCCACGCAGCCGTGCAGGAACTCAGCCCCTCCAGAGGTAAAAGTTAACTTCCCGACAGACCCGTCCCTCTGCCAGACTAGCCCGTTCCTCAGACCTTTCACACTCACAAGGGGGGTGGGGGAGTTGGCAACTTGCCTTGGCTTCTGACAGCTGACACCTGGTCCCTGTCCGCTGAGGGTTCCGACACCAGGCACAGGCCCACAAACGCGCGCTCAGCACAGAAGTGCCCACTCCCCCTCTCTGGCTCGCCCGCGGCCCAGGTGAGGGTAATGGGCCCGCTCGTTTTGCCCCATTCCGAGGAGCCTGGCTGCGGGCCGCTGGGCAGCTCCAGGCACCATGCGGCTGTGCATGCGCCCTGAGCGCGCCGCGCGCAGGCATCGGAGAAACTCCGGGGGTCCCGGCGGAGGGTGGTCTCCGGCTGGCGCCCACCCCCGCGCCGCGGGCCCTGCGGTCACTCACCTCCCGTGAGCTGAGCGGGGCCGAAGCACAGAGCCAGCTGGATCCACAGGACCGCGGCCAGCAGCCTGCGAGGGGGCGGCGGCGGCTGCTGCTGCTGCTCCAGAAATCCGTCTCCCGGGCTCGGGTTCATTCCATGATGCATCTTTCGTCCACGCACCGCATCCGGCTCGCAGGCGCCTGCAATCAGGAGCGGACGCGGCGGTGCCTGGGCCCCGGGGCCGAGGGGCCGCGGGGCCTCCCCTCCTCCGTCCCCCTCCCTGCGGGAACCCCCCTCCCGGCCCCCACTGGCATCACCTCCCACCTCCCTACCCGGCGCGCGCAACCCGAGGCAGCGCGGCCGGGCGCCGCGCGGGTGGACGGCGGGGGAGGGGCGGCCGGGCCGGGGTTGCGCGGGGACCGCGGCCGCTAAGTCCGCAGCATCCCCGCGTCTCCTGCTGGACCCGCACTTTTCCCCGGGCCTATGCGTTGTCACTCTCGGGCACCTCGCGGCGCGGCAGCGGGTCCCCGCGCGACCTACCCCTCCGCTCCGGGTCCTGCCCCGGGGTCGCGGGGGGTCCCGGCGCGGCGGCCCCTCCCTGGCCCGCGGGCTCCCGCGCTTACCTGCGGGGCTCCTCTGGCAGCTTCCTTCCCGCCTCCGCCGCCTCCCCGCGCCGCTCCGACCCGCATCTGTGCGCGACCTCTGCCGCCGCCGCCGCGAGAGCCAGACGGAAGCCTCGGCGGCGCCCGCGCCCGCCCCCCGCCCGCGCCCCCCCCTCCGGCTCCCGGGGCGCTCGGGCTCGGGGGGTGGGGACGCCGGCCCGGCCGCGCGCCCGCCACCTGAGCTCGAGAATGCGGCGGCGCGGACGGCGGCGGGGGCGCGCGGCAGGCGGGGGCGCGTAAGGGAACGCGGCCTGCCGCGGAAGCCTGCGCGCGAGGGGCGGGGCCGCCGCGGCACCACGACCAATCGGAATCCCGCGCGCCTGCACCTGCCTGCCCCGCGGCGGGGCGGCCTCCCACCCACGCGGGGGGCCAGCTACGTGTCAGTCCTCGGTCCCCGCGAAGGCTCCGCGTGTCCCTTTGGGGCCCGCGTGGCGACCGAAGCGGCTGAGACTCTCTCCCCCTCCCAGGGCACCCCGGCGTTTGCCCTTCAGGATCCGCTGGGGCGCCGATCCGAGGCCCGAGCCTTGGAGCTGCCCTGGCCTCTCCCAGCGTCTGCGCCGCCTGCGCGGGAGCTGCTGTCCCGCGGGGGAACTGAGCGGGGTGGGGGTGCGGTCCTTGCAGCTGGAGAAGACTGGGTACCCGGGGAAGGGAGGCCTCTGGAGGGGTGGGCCTTAACCCGAGGGGGTCGGGTGTTGGCTCCCAGTCCTCAGGGGGTAGCCTGAGCCTCCGCGCGGCTCTTGGAGCACAACCCGGCACCCGCATAGGGGTGGCCCATTCCCCCGACCCCTTTCTCCTCCTCCCACCGCCCCGCCCGAGGCTGGTCTCCCTCTAGTTGAGGGGTGAACTAAGGTGGTGATGCAGGCAGGCGGCAATTCACATCCGGGGCTCCCCATTATCCCGCAGCAGTTTGCGCCCTGAAAACCATGTTCATGATACCACCAGCAAATTCATTCCGATTCTAATCGGGTTTCTATTTATTTATTTGTTTAGGCTTTGTCAAATTGAGATGGCCGCTTTGCACACCGTAGGTTTGAGACTTTGGCACAAGTTAATTCCTGCTAACACGGTCTCACTTTGGGGATTCTGGAATCTGAGTTGGGCACCATTCCACATTTCGGAGGTCCTATAACTGACCTCTGCCGTTTGAATACTTATTCCAATTTTTTTTCCTCAGTAAGCCATCAAATCAACAAAGCTGAGAAATATTTGACCATGCATATGTTTTTACTGTAGTAAGAGGTCTATATGTATGTATATACTACTGAACTCTGTTCTTCAACGAACGCACAACCCATTTGTACAGAGACCATCAGGATTGAAAAGAACACACACGTTTTTCTGGTCCAAACACGGGATCTATGCTGGAGTCCCCTGACATTTCTAATAAGGGTCATTCCGCCTCATGGAATACTTCCTGAGGGAGCCTGGTACATTTGCCAACACCTCTCTTAGAAAAGCCTCCCCAGCAAATATAGTTTCTGACATGCACATGATGCAACTGAGAAGTTATTCTGAATAATTTGCTTCTGTTCATGCAACATAAGAAAAACAAACATTAGGGTGGCCACCACAACACCCCAGCTGGTGAGTTTTCTACAGGACCTTTTGTGTTGGTCTGCTAAAACAGCCCTAACCATGTAGCCGTCGTGGGGTCATGCCCAAGACAGGCCTATCTTCTCAGTTTTGGAGGCCAGCCACTCAAGATCAAGGTGTCAGCACGTTTGGTTTCTCCTGAGGCCTGTCTCCCCAGCATGAGGGGAGTGGCTTTGTGCCCATGTCCCTGACTGACCACAGTGCAGCGGCCCAACTTCAACTCTGTGGTCCCTGTGCTATTTTCCCTCACTTTTCCCTTCCATCCCCCAGCCTCTCCCTGCACACTACGAGATATTTTTCAAAACTTAGTGAATCTCTTTTGGGGGAAAAAAACTATAATTTCACTTTCAGTGGCCAACAGTATTTCATTCAGAATGTGTTACTTGAGCACCAGCTGTGAACAGGATGCTGTGCAAGGCACTGGGGAGGAAAAAGTGATCACAGAACACAAAACATCCATGCCCTTTGAGAACTTACGTTCCGGTGAAGGAAGACACACTAAACCAACAAAGGAAAGCACTGGGTCTGTCAGGAGCTGTTAAGTGCTGGGCAGAATAATAAATATGTAATATGATAGATATATAATAAATATAAATCATAAATTGGGGAATGGGTGGAAGAGGGATGGAGGTGAAGTCCAGGCTAAGGCAGCGTAATGAAGCGATCCAGTACACAGTCACTTGGACTGGTTACTCCTCTCTCGGCGTCTCTGCTCCACAGAGTCACTCAGGGGCCCGGATACCTTCTGCATCGTTGCTCTGCCCTCCCCCTAAGATAATGTCTTCATGCAGATAGCTGTAGCCAGATCCCTGGCATGTCCAGGTTCCAGCCTGAGGAAAGTGGTCAAGAAGGGAAGCCTAAGGCCAACATTTCCTTCCAGGCGAGTGAGTTACACCAGTCACTCACGGGAACCTGCTCACGAGGCTGTACCTGCTTGCAAGGGAAGTTGGGAAGGTCGTCTTCATCAGGCAACCAGGTGACCAGAAAGAAGAGAGGGGCCTGGTGTGGTCAGGGGGATCTTCCAGTCCATCCCATGTTCTGTGTGAGGAAAGAGGTGGGATTTTTTAAAAATAAACAGGGGAGCTGGGGGTACTTTCAAGGGAAGACCTGAAAGAGGTAAAAGAGGGAGCCATACAGTTTTCTGACGGGAAAGCATTTCCAGGCAGAAGAGACACATGCAGGAAACAGAAGGGACATCAGGAGGGCTGGAGTGGGTAGGTGACAGGGAGACCAGGGACGAAGGTCAGAGAAGTCACCTGGCCAAGTAGGCCTCTGAGGCCTTGGCTGTGGTCCAGCTTTCACTCAGAGTGGCAAGAGAAGCCATGGGAGATCTGCGAGCAGAAGTCTTGAACAAGAAGGGGCCATAAGACCTGATGTCCAGCTTCAGGCTGACCAACGCACCCCACCACTCCGCACCCTGTGGTCCCTTCTGCCTCCCTCCTGCATTATCCCTGAGGCTCAACCCTCACCACAAGACATCACCTCCAAGAGATGGACCACCAGTTTTCCAACACCCACCTTCCATCCCTCCACAACTGCACGTGGCACAGACTGTGACGGGGGCTTGCCTGCCCATGCCTCTGACTAGATCATGAGTTCTCAGTGCAAGAACTGTGCTCACCTGTTTGGTCCACCTGTGGCTAAGCACATAGCTGGGACCCCAGTAGAGAAATCAGAACTTGTCTTCCCAGATTATTTAATTACTATTAGAAGGAAAAAGGACTGTGCCTACCAAGCTCTCCCTGACATTGAAAACCAGAGACTGGAGCCCATTGACCTGTCTTCTCTCTGAGTTTCCTGAATCCTGCACCTCCAGGGAAATATACGTCTAACCACAACCCATGAAAAAGCTCAGAACATGCTAGAACATTAACCTAGCTCTGCATGGAAGCCATGCTTGAATGGAGATCTAGAATTTTCAAAGAACCTGATGCGCCCTCTGAGAGGAGAAGAGCTACAGCCTGGGGTGGGGAACAGGAGGAGTACACCTAGTCACCTCCCACTCACTTGGCTGTCATGCCAAGTGTCCTGTTGGGTACGGATGCATTCCACTGGTGCGCTAGGAATGGAGGCTACAGGTGGGGAGAAGATACAGTCTTTGTCTTCAAAAGTCTATAGTCCGTGGAGATTGCTGACAAATAAAAATGCAGTTAGTGTCATGGGACAGATGTAAGACTGGAGGGCACATAGGACCTGTGTGAATAACTTGGAGGGAAGTCAGGAAGGGACTGTTCCCCACTGGCCCGCAGGTACATGGAAAGCACCCAGCATCATGAATCTATCACAGTACGCCAACGATGACAGCAGATATGGCTTCACCCGTGTCACACGGGCTTCAGATATAAGTGTGACAACACTGGGTGTTTGGGGACAACACAGCGGAAAGGGAATCCCCATGTTCCGCTGTAGGAGCGTAAGTTGCTGTCTATTAACCACGTCTTTGTTTTCCGTGTTCCGACATGTTGACACGGGGCCTTGCTGACCATGGAGAGACGGCCCCTCCCCGAGATTAGTAAACCAGAGCCCACACACCCCACCACCACCTCTACAGGCTCTCACACTCTGGCCCACCCCTGGCCTCCCCGCCTCCCGGCCACCTGGGGCTGCCCTGTGTGTCCCTTGAGACTTCCATGACTCCTGTTTCTAGAAAACCATGAGTGGGACAAGCTTCTTCCTGCCTGATGGTCATTTCCTCCATCTGTGCGTCCAACCACAGTGCACAGCCACAAAGCCTGGGCTCCCTTAAAGTGTGCATGCCTCTTGGAGGGCAGCAGGCCAAGCCTCAGCTCCCAGAAGGAGCTCTGGTAGCTAAACGATGAGGCTCACACCTGGGAAGCAGCTGGGGTGGGTCCCATTCTCATTAACTGGTCACATTCATGGCTGGTATTCTATGATGGTGGGAAATTGGGAGCAGCCTGGTGCAGGGGAAGGCACTTGGGGGAGCCCTGCAGCCCCCATCTAAGCGTGTCTCCCTAATGGACAAGCTGAGACACGATGGGGCCAACGCCACAGGAGTGGCTCCCTCTCTCCCCGACAGCCTGGGGTGGTGATGCGCAGCAAGGGGGCCTCGGAGGTAAAGTCTGGCTCCTCCATGGCGGTCACTCAGGGACACAGGCACAAAGCCACTTAGCTGTCTGAAGTTCGTGGCTTTCGGGAGCCTCTGGTAGTGCTTTCAGAAAGACCTTCAGGGGTTAATTACATTAAAAGTGTTATCTTCCTGACTTTTTTTTTTTTCATTTCATCTATCACCTTGCCTTGTCTCCTGTTTTAAGATTCTTCCCTTTAAAGCCACCATCAGCGCAGCACAAACCACTTACTCAACGTTCACCCAGCATTCATTCAGCTCCCTCACAAACCTAACCCTGCAGCTCTTACACATGGCATCTGCTTATTCGTTCGGCAAATACGTCTTCCGTCCAGTGCTGAAGATGCTCTCCGGGCCATGGAGATCCAGGACGGAACAAACCAATGATGCTGGCCCTCCTGGAGCACACATTC